CCAGCTAGGAAAACAGCATCTCTCTGTCTTTGAACTTGCCTGACCTTTTACGTTATTTCAGTCTCATTCTCTAGAGTTCAAGGTACTGGCTGCGCTTCAGGAATTCAAAAGCATAAACACTCATCAGTTTGGCTGGCACTACATATGAGATGAGAAGGGAACTGAGAAAGAATAAAACACATCCAAAAGCCAAACAAAAAGTGTACAGGGCTTGTAAATAAAGCATGTAGCTCTTCCACAGTGTTGTCCAGGGTGCCCACTTCCTTCCTGCCTCCCTTTCCTCCCTGCTGCCCCCTGGTCCTAACAACACTATGAAAACACACAGAGTTTTATCTCATGCCTCCAGTACTGTGTAGCTAAGCTAGAGAGGCTTCTGCTTAAGCCAAACAGTTTAGACTTAGGTAGAAAGTTAATAGGAAACCCCGAGATCTGCTGAGTGGTTCCGACTTTTGCAGTGTTGGTAGTTTTTCCATAACCTGGCTGCAAGTCTATTTTTTTTTTTAATCCCTTCCTGTGGCCAGGGAACTGTGCAGTGCTGAGCCAGGCTGTGTGTTAGTGGTGCATCACTGCCCGCTCACATGCGGGGACTGCGCTGTCTTACACTCTCTGTAGATTACAGCACAAAAAACCTCTGGATTTGATGCTACTAAAGTCTATGGCATTTCATGAGCCCTGACAGCATGGAAGTGGGAGCTCTGATGCCAAGAAGGCTCCTGTCAAAACTCTGCTTGTTCATTTTCCCCTCTGCCAGTGGGACTATGCTGCAGAACTGAAGGCAATATAAACCAATTTAAAGATCCTCTAAGGAATTTCAGGTCTCAGCTGACTCACGTTACTAGATTTTGGCATCTGCTGGCCATAGGCAGTACTACTATTTTGGCACTGAAATATATGAAAACTGTTATGTGGAGAAGGTCCAAAGTACATGGGTGACCACATCTCTATTTTGTGCTGACTGCATCAGGCCATACTGTACAAAGCCCATCTCATTTGTCTCGCTGCAGGAACGCATCCATTAGGCCCTTGTTATTTTCCCTTCCTCACTCTTTTGTCCTCTTAGGTAGCAGGAGCAGAATAACAGGCTGTTACAAAACCAGACGTTGTTTCTTGACAGATCAGCTCTGCAGTGTGTGAAGTGCTGTTCAGCCTCCACTGCAGATGGAGGAGCCTGACAGAGCGCAGCCTCTGCAGATGCTCTAATAACAACAACAACAAAATTACAGGCTGCTTTCTGCACGTGCCAGCCAGGCTGTATTGCTGCAGAGGCTGTGTGTGAGCAGAGCAGAAGCCAGTAGCTCTGATAAGTGGTGTTTGCTTTTGGCTTACATTTTTCCTCTGCTAATGAAGCATCTGTAAGTGATAAAATCCACCTTTCAGTCTGTCTCTTGAGTGGCAGGCAGACACATATGGAGTAACACATGTGCTACATACAACCAGCTGCAGCTCCCATAGCAGCTGCGAAACTCAATATGTGCCATTTTTTGGCACTTGGGCACTCACTGCCTCTCCCAGCTGTGCACAGCAGAGCCGTGGGGCCCCGAGGCTGCTGTGGGTCAGTCCCCAGAGTGATTTCCCTCCCCGCGAGTGCCTCGCTGCTGCTGGCGCTGCCAGGCTGCTCTGGCTCTTCGATGTCGTGAAGAGTCTGCGCTGGCCCCACTTTCCGGGTACTCAGCTGTGCGTTCTCCTCAAGGAGCCCGGCCCAAACAGGAGAGACTGGGCTGCTCCCTACCCCTCTCAGGAGTCACTGGCCTCTCCTCGACCTTCCCTCTTCTTAACTGTGCCCCTGTACTGCAACTGACTGCATGTAAGAGCCTCTTCCATCTTTTCCTCCATCCCAGTAATAGGCAAGCTATCATCTCATTGATTTTTTGAATCCTGAATCTCATCTAAAAAAAAAAAAAAACATGGAGTATTGGTTAGGTAAGTTTACAGCTTGGTGATACTGTGTTTGAACTACAGTATAGGTACTGTAGTTCTGTAGTATAGGTCTACAATATAGGTACTGTAGTATTTACATCCAGGATCTCATTTCTACCAAAGCTAGAATCATCCTAATGATTCTAATGATCACTGTGAGGTCTCCTTGGTTTTTAACACTGCGTGATATGGTATCATCTAAAAAACAGCCTTTTCCTTCTGCTTTTATCTCCTCTGAATCTTGTTAACACTCCCAAGTATCTTTTTCCTTTCTCCTCTTCTAGCAAGGACCACTTAGGAGTGTTTTATACCTATGAAGGCCAGAGTTGGATTAACTGTTGTCTACAGTATTTAGCTGTGTTGCCTTTCCCTAATGCCTTCTAGGAAATGGTGAGTCAGGCCTACATTCCCAGGGCTACATGCGAACCAGAGGATGGGCAATTGGGAGAAGGTGAAGGAGGAACTGCAGTCATTTGCATTGTACTGCTTGAAAGCTTGGGGAGTAGGTAAGAGAGCTTATAAACACATTTTTACTATAGACAGAAAAGCTGTTTTTTAACATGAGGGGACCCAATAGGATAAGTTTGTCACGGGGGAACTTGGAGGAAAAGAGAAGACTGCAAACAAAAGACGAAGCCACTAGCTCGTATCCTCAGAAATATCTAGCAGTATTTTGCATGTAAACTCCCCAAATACCAGCTTAGTAATAAAAATGCACATCAATTATGGGTATGCTTTCTTTCAAAGGAGACTTGGAACAGGACATTGCTAAGTATCTCCAGAGTTGCCTGTGGAGATACTCCAACACCTCCAAAGGTGTTTTATGATTCCCCAGAGAAGCAGCACAACTGCCAGCAGAAGAGAGTAAAAAAAAAAAAGAGGCTTTCTGGTGCATACTCTCCCTTAGAAGGACCAAGTCTTTGTTTTTTGTAGCTGAACCCCAGCTGTACAGCCCCCATAGGGAAATGCAGCTGCTCAGTTGTAGCAAGAGCCTCCAAGCAACAGGAAGAGTTCAGTTTTCTCTAATATTCACCCACCTTTCATTAGGTGAGTTAATTTATTGTTAATTAATCATTTGTTTCACTCCATTGTCCCTCCTTCACCACTTAGGAGGCCCAAGACAGGTAATGCTGGTGAGTAATGTGATCTACCAGTCCTGAGGCAAGAGGTACCTGGTGCAGTCCTTAGCAGGGCAGCCCTGCATCAGCCCTGCACAGAGCACGCTGCACACAAGCCAAGGGAAAGGGAAGCAGCTTCCTCCCCTGCTCCCATCAGGGCATCAAGCTGCAGGCAGCACCTTCTTGTCCTTTCCCTGTTTCCAAGAAGTAAGGCAAGGCTCAGTTACACTTAAACAGAAGCCCTCTGACCTGCCAAAGAAAAAATACACCTCTGTGCCTGACCACTGCCAGGAGGGCCAGTTTGTATCTGTGGTCAGCACTCCTCCACCAGGACCAGCAAGAGGTGAAAGCTGGGAAAAACAAGATGATTTAACTCCCTCCTTTTCAGAAAGGGAGGTCACTCAGTCTCTCTTAATAGATGTGGCAGAAGCAGGCTGCTCAGCAGGGAGCTTTTACAGAGGCATTGCTTTATTTTTCAGATCTAGTAAAAAGAGTCAGTTGGAACAGGAAATCACAGCTGATAGGCACAGATCATTTAAAAACTGTCTTTTTGTTTTATTACTGGGCACAGTACAGTATAGCTTTATATGACTAAAAGCCACAGTAATAGAAACACTTTCAAGCCCCTCCCCACACACTTTTTAATAAAAATAGAATAAAACACACAACACTTAGGAAGAATTAGTGTCCCAGGAGACCACTCCCAAAAATGGTTTTGCCACAGTTGGGGTTTTGTTTTTTTTAAACTAAAGCCTATGATTTCATAGCTGCTACTGTGTGAGGCTGAAAAACGTGAGCTTGCAGCATTGCCTCTGCTTACTATGATGGAAAGAGGCTTCTTGATTAACTCAAAGGCTTGCAAATATGCTCAGTCATGGTCCCTTGTAGTCAGAGGAAACTGTATATACAGATGGGATTGCTTATACACCTCTGTAGGAAACTAGAGCACTCCTCTAGAGAGGCTCATACCATCCAGAAGCATAAACAGGCTCATCCAGTAGAGGGTTAAAGCACTGCTGCGTCCAGACAGGTTTCCTGCAGACAGTGCAGGCTTCCCTCACAGGCAGGACCACTTCTTACCAACTCAGCCAGATCAATAGCAGGTCAAGGCAGTGAAGCTTGGAGAAAAGCTTTCATCTTTAAAGCAGGCTTAGCTCCTCAAAAAAACTGATCTAAACTAGAAGGCACAAATGCAAAGTTGAATGTGAACCACATACCAGTGTAGTATGTAAGTAAATAGTTCAGAAACTGCTCCTAAAAGGACATACAACACATAATAAATACGTGATATTTTAGAAAAAAAGTGCATTCATCTGATCCTTTGCAAGGCAAGGAAGTAGGACCACAGTAGCCTACAGAGGCGAATTCACTTAATATTGCACAGAAATCCTGACATTTGCTGTAAGGTCATTGTAGTGGAACAGGGACAGGGGAAAAACAGAAGATCTTGTTTGGCAGAGCCTGCCCACATCACCACCACCACACAAGCAGCTTTGCCAGCCTGAGGTAGAATTACATATATACTGCTTCAGTTCAGTTAAGTCCTGTTCAACTGGGCTCCAGAGAAAGAGGAGGAAATGGAGATGGGGGAGGAAAAAATAAATAAATAAAAATAAAGAGAGAGAGAAAGGAAGTACATGGAAGAGACAAGCCTCTTCTCTAGAGAGTGAAAGCTTCAGGTTTGACCCCAGAAGCAACTCTTACAGAGCAGAGTTATCTACCAGCCAAGATCCCTGCTGCCCACTGGGAAAGCAGCAATAATTAGTGTTACAGATGAGGAGTGTAACAGGCACATCAATTGCAAGTCTCATAGCAAGCATCCTTTACAGCTCCTCCCCTTCCTCTCTGCCCTACTATTTGCTAAGGTTCCCTTTATATTTGCCCAGTCCAGCATATTTTGTTGGAATTAAGGTTGTCCTATTTTGTTTCTCCATACTGTTCATTTTTCTGGTACCCTATAAGTCTTCTGCTTCACCCCTTAGCAGAAGGGACATTTGCAGTTTCTTCTAGGGATTCCTCTGTGTGGTACAGGCTGGGAAGAATAGAAATAAGAGCCTCTTCAATGGAGAAGAGATGTTCATCCTCTGCTTGAGGACAGAAGTAGCGCATGAAGTCCGCCAGTCTCAGCAAGTACTCGATGTTATGGCCAGCACAACCACTTGAGACAATGATTTGAGCTGCAATGTCTTCTTCAGAGGCTGGGCCCAGGTAGGATGGGTTCTGTGGTGTTGCAATGTAAACAAGAGCCAAGATGGGCTCGCCTGCATCCTTATCCTGCGGGTGGAACTTCACAAACTTGGTGTCATAGCCTCCCAGGACAGCTTCACGCACGTTCAGGTACTGCAGTGATGCAGCAATCTGCTCTCCGCACACCTCGTAGGCTACACCCCAGGTGCATGCCTGAAAGAAGAGCAAGGTGGTTAGGAGATGCTGCAGCTTCGCTAAAGAAAAGCAAGCCCACCACCTATGTTTTCAGGTATTCCTTTCAGGTTTCTGCTAGGAACCTGCTTGGAGATGGAGCTGATGACAGAGATGGGTGGTAGAAGACCGCCCTCCCCTCACCCAAGGCAATGCCCCCGGCTGCCGACAGCAACGAGGACCCGCTGCCCGGACCAGCTCCCGCCCCTCTCCCCATCCCCAGCCCCGCACTCACCCCGCGCTCCTCCAGCAGCGTCACTACCCGGCCGGGCTGTGGAGAGAGACAGAGCCGTTAGAGCCACTAGAGCCAGGCACCCCCCGCGCCGCCCGCCCGCCCATGGCT